TGTGTGTGTGTAAGTGTATGTGTGAGTGTGTGTGTGTGTATGTGTGCGCGTGTGTGTGTGTGTGTGTGTGTGTGTGTGTGTGTGTGTGCAGTACATCATTGTGGGCTTCGCAGCGAACGTTCCATACGGTGGTGAGTGTGTGCGTGTGTGTGTTCGTGCGTTTGTTTGTGTGTGTGTGTATGTGTGTGTGTGTGTGTACGTGTGTGTGTGGCGGGAGTGTGTGTGTTTGTGGGGGGATGTTTGTGTGTGTTTGTGGGTGGGTGTTTGAGTTTGTGCGTGTGTGTGTGTATGTGAGTGTGTGTCTGAGTGTGTGTGTGTGTGTGTGTGTGTGTGTGTGTGTGTGTGTGTGTGTGTGTGTGTGTGTGTCTGTACAATATATCAATATTGGCAGGACCGGGGTTCCCTGCCTAAAAAAATATATAAAAACGTGTCAGAGAGGTCGCCAACCATCTACCATACAATCAATCATCAATAGGCTGTAACTGTAAGATTGTGAATATTCATGTTTGTGTCTTTACTTTCCACAGATCTTTTTAAGCATGGAATGAAAGAACAGTCGGAGAGGTATGCGAGTGACGTCACGCCGTCCAGTTGGACTTTCACCATCTGGTCAGTGATCTACGCCTGGCAGGGGCTGTGGGTGGTGTACTCACTGGTCAACTTGTGTAGGCTGGGACCTAGAGGTGAGAGAGAGGGAGAGAGAGAGAGGGGGGGATAGAGGGGGAGGGGGAGAGAGAGGGGAAGAGATAGAGAGAAAAAGAGAGGGGGAGAGAGAGAAGGGGAAGAGATAGAGAGAAAGAAAAAGAGGGTGAGAGAGAGGGGGGCGGGAAAGATATAGAGGAAGAGGGAGGGAGAGAGAGAAGGAGAAAGAGGGAAGGGAGAGGTAGAGAGTGAGAGGAAGACAGGGATAGGGAAGGGACAAAGAGGGGGGTAGACAAAGGGGGAGGGAGAAAGATAGAGAGAGATGGAGAGAGGGGTAAGGAGAGAGAAAAATTATGCACACATACACAAACGCGCGCGCACGCGCACACACACACACACACGC